TAGAGTGCTCGGAGCGGGTTGGAGGCGAGCTTCCGAGCCGGGGTCGGGGAACTCGGGGGACTCGGAGGGGTCGGAGGGCTCGGAGGGGTCGGAGGGGTCGGAGGGGTCGGAGGGGTCGGAGGGGTCGGAGGGGTCGGAGGGGTCGGAGGGGTCGGAGGGGTCGGAGGGCTCAGAGGATCGACCCCTCCGAGCCCTCCGAGCCCTCTAGCCCTCCAGCCCTCCCGAGCCCTCCGAGCCCTCCGAGCCCTCTTGGGGGGCAGTCACATAAGCCGCGACTTCGTTTTCTTTATCTTTTTGCGACCCCTCCCGGAGGGCCCTTCCGACCCCTCTCGAGCCCTCCCGCCATGAAGATCCTCCCCTGTCCGACCGTCCCTCCGAGCCCACCCGGCGTCCGGGGAGGGGGTTAGCCCTGTGGAGCCCTCCCGACGCCGATCCGACGGGGACCCCTCCAGCCCTGTGGGCTGGCGAGCCCTCCGGTCGGAGGGGTGGAAGTGGGAGGGCTCGAAGACGGACCTCTCTCGCTCCGGGAGGGTGGAGGGGTGGAGGGTGGAGGGGTGGAGGGGTGGTTGAGCCCTCTAGCTCTATCGATATAGCCCTACCCCTCCCGCCGTTTTAAGGGTACCAGCTGCCAAAGGGGTCGATTTCTCGACCTCCCGAATTCTCCGGGTAAGGGCGGTCCCCGGCATTATTTAGGGTGCTAATCACGAATCCAAGGCCAGAAACACGCCGCAAGATCATCCTACAGGTGTACTCGGTAACTCCATGGCCCATATAATTCACCCAACACTAGCGCAACTGTTAGGCCCCCAAAAGTTAATGTTAAACAGCTCTACCTGCAGGAAGGAGAAACTCAGACGGATCGAAGAGTGAAAACTCCTCCCTGCGGCATGTGCGCAGAACGGGAGGTTGCGCAATGTGCGGCATCGTGTTGAGGGCTCGGGGGGGCAACGACGGCAGCGTTGCCGAGCTTGTACAGGGGCCTCAATCCTGTCCCCGCGATTAGAGCTGTCAAACGTTAAGAGCTGAACAGTGTTGCTAGTGTTAACAGTAACAACAGAACAACAGTGGGGCTCCCCAACAACAGTAGCTAACGTTAGGCCAGCTGAACAACAATAAGGAAGGCCTGGCAGTGACCCACGACGATCTCCAGCGTCCAGTGCGGGTAATACCCGAAAATACCTGGAAAAACCCAGGTATTTTCGGGTTTTACCCGGGTTTTTTGGCATTTTCTGCTTTGCTGACCACTGAACAACAGTAACAACAGTAACAAACAGTAACAGCTTGGGCTGGGGAGAACACTTGAACAACGTTGAGGATTTTCAGCCAACAATAGTGCAACTGTTAGGCCCAAAGTTAACGTTTGACAGCTCTACCCGCGATGGGGTGCGCCTCTCGCCGCGCGCGTAGCAGGCGGCGCGCGGGTAGCCTCAGAGATGCGCAGAGCGAGATGCGGGTATCAGCAAACCAAGCCCTGGGCTTGGATGGGCGCGGCGAAGCCGCGGCGCAGTGGATAGCGTGAAGAACTCGAGATCGCTGGGTGGGATCTTGAGCCGCCGCTGCCACGTGCAAGCCCCACCCGGCTGGCGGGTGGACCTGGGGGCGTGCCGCCCTGCTTGCTCTAGGTGAAACGTCTAAAGGACGAAGATGCACGGAGGTGCGACCAACTCAGCACGACGGGCGGAGAAGCCGGGCACTAGACCAGGAAGGACTGGGAGAGTGTGAATGGAGGGACACGTGTGGTTCAGACGCTTGTAGGGCTTGAGAGTGGCCTGCCATGTCACAAGAAGGACTGTGGTTGCAGGAGAGTACCACCAACCATCACTCTAGTTGGTATAGTAAAAGAAAGAAAGAAAACAGACAGGCACCCCGCAAGGGAGGGATGGGAGGAGGTATAGTACCCCACCTTCACCGATCGAGTGATTTCTTTTTTAGTTTCCCATAAGTAAGGTAGGTAGGTAGGTAGGTAGGGGCAGGGGAGAGGCCGGGTTTTTCCAGAATTTCAGCATGAGGTCCGCGCAAGGAAAAAGAACACACCCCAACCGCTCTCACCTCGTCCGGTCGAGCGCCACCGGGCTTCCACGATGAGATCCGTGTCGTTCCTCCTTTTCATGGCTCCGGTCGCGACTGCCTCGCCCGTCATGGCTGGCTTCGGCTCCGGCATGACGGCTCCGACCGACACCGACATCCTCGAGAAGCTCCAGTCTCTCTACGCAGAGAAGCTGCGGCCGCTGGAGAAGAAGAGCCGGTGGGTGTCAAGCCGCCTCCACCCGCCGCCGCGCGCCTTCGAGTGGCAGCGATCCGCCCGGCCGCAGCGCGAGCGCATTTCCCGGTGCTCTCCAGGTACAACGAGATGGCCGAGCCCGCGCTGTCGGACGCGTGGTTCGAAGCCAAGCCGATGGTGCTGCTCATCGGCCAGTACTCGGTGGGCAAGACGTCCTTCATCAACTACCTGCTCGGCCGCGGCTTCGCCGGCTCGCGCGTCGGGCCCGAGATGACGACGGACCGCTTCGTCGCCGTCATGTACGGAGACGCGGAGAAGACGACGCCGGGCAACGCGCTCACCTCGCAGCCCGACACGCCCTTCCACTCGCTCAAAAAGTACGGGACCAACTTTCTGAACCGGCTCGAGGCGGCGGCGCTGCCGTCGCCGATCCTCAAGCGGGTGACCCTCGTCGACTCGCCCGGCGCGCCGAGAGAGAGCGAGCGCCCGCGGGCCGGCGTAAGAGCTCGGCGGCGTGATGGTGTGCGGCAGCGCTGTAGGTGTGCTGTCGGGGGAGAAGCAGCGCGACCGCGGGTACGACTACAACGGCGTGGTGACCTGGTTCGCGCAGCACTCGGACCGGATCCTCCTCCTCTTCGACGCGTACAAGCTCGACCTGTCCGACGAGTTCAAGGACGCGACGAGGCTCCTCCAGCCGACTCCTTCCCTCCGTGAGGCACTGACATCCTGTCTCGTGGCTCGTAGGACGTGATGAAGCTCATCCAGGCGTACGACAAGAAGGTGCGCGTGGTGCTCAACAAGGTGGGGCGGCGTCTACGAGCGGCTCCTCGGGGCCGGCACGGAGCCCTCTCGACACTTCCGGAGCCCCTCCCCCCACAGGCGGACGGCGTCTCGCCGCAGGACTTGATGCGCGTCTACGGCGCGCTGATGTGGAACGTGGGCGGAGTCATCCCGTCCGCAGAGGCGCGAGAAGCTCGCAAGCACCCTCGCCTCCTGCCCCCGCCACGCCTGCTTCGTCGCACGGCGCCCGCCCCGCCCGCCCCGCCCGCCCCAGGTGCCGCGCGTCTACATCGGCTCCTTCTGGGACCGGCCATGGCAAAACACCGGCGCACCCCCCCCCCCTCCCCCCTCGCCCCTCGCCCCGAGGGTCGGCACGCCTCCCGCACACCTCCCGCTCGAGCTCTGCGCCGCAGGGATGCTCGACCTCATGGAGGCGGAAGAGAACGACCTGATCGAGGACCTGGTGACGATGCCGCAGAACAACGCGAGTCGCGACGCAGCGCAGGGGAGGCGGGAGGGGCGGGCAGCCCCGAGGCACGGCCTCCGCCCGGCCCTGTAGGTGATGAACAAGATCAACGAGATCGCGCGCCGCGCGCGCGTGGTCGAGGCGCACACGCACCTGCTCGCCCACTTGCGCGCAAAGGTGGTGGCAAAGTGGTACGGCAAGCGCGAGGAGCAGGCCCGCCTCTCTCTCTCTCTCTCTCTCTCTCCCTCTCTCTCTCTCTCTCTCTCTCTCCCTCTCTCTCTCTCTC